AAGGACAGCTATTTGACCTCTTATCGGTAAAGGCGGAGAAGTGCCTCGTGGAGTTTCGGGGGGTCACTGGGTGTGTAAGCATCTGCCTGGGAGCTGGCACAGGGCAGGTGCTCAGTCGACGGCACCCTTGCTGTGCTTCTTGCTGGGGCCTCCCTGGCCTTGAGGTCTCCTTAGAGCAAGGGCAGTGGGGCGGGCTGTCGGGGAAGGAGCACCTGTCTGCTCTAGTGCAGAAAGGCGTCCTCGGCTCCAGCACACAGGGCCGTTTTCTTGGGGTTGAGACGCCGGAGGGGGCCCTGCCGAGTTCGGCTCCGTCGGGGGCACTTAGCAAAAGGCAGCGCCCCTCCAGATCGCGCCGCCTGCGTCTGGGGTCCAGCCGGGCCGCGCGGGGGCGCCCCCTAGCGGCCGCCGGGGGCCTCGCTCCGTCCCAGGCTCGGCGGCGGCGGCGGCGGCGCACACGTGACCGCGCTCGGGGCCTGCAGCCGCTGTCACTCAACGGGAGAGAAGCAAGATGGCGGCTGGGGGTGATGCGCTGAGGGCCCGTAATTCCCTCCACTGACCCGCCCTCCCGCCCGGCCCCGGGGGCCTTTCCACCCGCCCCGGCGCCCCCACCGCCACCTCGCCGCCCTCCGCTTCCCCTTCTCCCCGCCTCGGCTCCGACGTGAGGGGCCGGCGGGGCAGCCGCACAGGCAGCCCGCGCTCCCGCCACGTTCAGACGCGACCCAGCGGCAGGTTCCGCTCGCGGCACCGCGGCGGCCGCGGGGCAGGTGGGCGGCGGCCCGGGCTGCGGCGACGCCCCCGGCGGCCTCAAGGGGACTGAGGGTTTAGGCAGGTCCCCCTCCCCTCCCCTCCCGCTCGGCCTCGGTTTAAAGTTGCGCTGAGGACGCCTCAGTGGGTCGGGGAGCCTGTGGGTCCCGGGTTGGTCTTCATCCCTGAGCGCCGCTGGGCTCCGGCCACAGGAGCAGGTGGACGGCCGAGGAAAGGGCAAAGCAGCAGCCAAACCAACCAACGTGGCAGCGCACCCGCTTCGAAGTCATTGTGGCAAAATCCAAAACAAAAGGAAGGCGTCGCGGGCTCAGGCGGCTGTTGGGTCCCCGCTGCAGGGGCGGCGGGGCGGTGGTCTTGCAGCCGCACCTGCTGAAGACGGGCTTCTGCGCCGGCTTCCGAGCACACGGCCAAGTATTGGGGGCCTTCCTAGAAACGACCTCTTTTTATCCAATTTCAAGGGATAAAAGCCCTTCCTGGGTCTGTAATAAGTTCCTCCCTGGTGACTCCCTCCCGTTTACTCAGGGTCTCTCCAGGCTGGTGCGGAGATGCATTTTTTAAAAAATATATCTTACTGATTTTTTACAGAGAGGAAGGGAGAGGGATAGAGAGTTAGAAGCATCGATGAGAGAGAAACATGGATCAGCTGCCTCCTGCACACCCCCCAGTGGGGATGTGCCCGCAACCAAGGTACATGCCCTTGGCCGGAATCGAACCCGGGACCTTTCGGTCCGCAGGCCAACGCTCTATCCACCGAGCCAAACCGGTTTCGGCAAAATATATATATATTTTTTATTGACTTCAGAGAGAGGGAGAGAAACAAATGATGAAAGAGAATCATTGATCCTATTGGGGATGAAGCCAGCAACCAGGGCATGTGGCCTGACCTGGAATCCAACCGTGACCTCGTGGTTCATGGGTCCACGTTCAACTACTGGGCCACACTGGCTGGGCTCTTTAAATGCTTGTTAACCTGGATTAACTAGGAATCCCGTTTTAAGAGTACTTGTATTTGAGGAAATAGAATCTATAAAAACGAAGGTGTGTCATTTGTTTTTCTCCAAAAGAGACTAGGGTAGCCCTGGCCCTATACGTATTAGAGAAGTATCAGTATTAAGCCGACTGTAACCCCACTTAGACGGTCCTAACAGAAAAAAAGTCACTTCTTATTCCCAGAATGAAAGACCCGTAGAGACTGGTTTACAGTATCCCAGGGCATTTTGGCTAACGTTAACTTCTCTTTGAAGGCCTAGCAAATAATATTTAGGATTGATAGCTGTGTATATGCTGAGTTAAATTAAAATTTGTGGTTGGGTTTCCTTTTTTGTTTTATTTATTTACTAGAGGCCCGATGCACGAAATTTGTGCAAGGGGCTCGGCCCTCGCAGCCGCGGCTTTGTCTGGAAGGTCAGCGGAAGGACGTCTGGAAGGTCATTTGGCTGTCTGGTCTAATTAGCATATTACACTTTTATTATTATAGATTGTAATATATATTTTTTATTGATTTCAGAGAGAGAAACACCAATGATGAGAGTGAATCATTGGTCACCTTCCTCCTGCATGCCTCCTACTGGGGACTGAGCCCACAACCCGGGCATGTGCCCTGACTGGGAATCGAAGCGTGACCTCCTGGTTCATAGGTTGATGCTCAACCACTGAGCTGCTCCACAGTTTAAAAAAAAAACCACCTTGCATATTTATGTACTTACATGACATTTTGTTTTTCTTAACACTCAGTTAACCTTGTATATACTTGTCCTATCTTTATATGAAATTAAAGGTTATATATGTTTATATTAATCTTATATAACCTGCAAAGTGTCTTGCATGTAGCAGTAGCAGATGCTCATCAAAGATTGGTGGGATAAATGATTGTTAGTAGGTGAGAACTTATAATAGATGAAGGTTTGATCATCTTCAGTGGGTATTATAACTAAATATTTTGGATTTGAGAAACTAAAAATTTTTCTAATTACATTTTGATAGGCAGTTTGACCAGTGAATGTTTTTAGTAGCAGAATTAGTGTGTTTTGAACTGCTATTTCATATTGCTTGCCATGCATTTTCCTTTCTTTATTGGATGTGGTGTTAACTTGTTGGATGCTTTACTTTTCAAACACATTATTTCTCAAGATTATGGTAAAAGCGCATGTCATAGTGACCGGTTGTTCAGTTGTTCCGCTGTTCAGTCTATTTGCATATTAGGGTTTTATATATATAGATAGAATAAACTTGCTTAATTAGACCTGCTTTCTGATTTAGCTAACCTTTTTCCAGCCCAGTGAAGCACCCCAACTTCTCTTTCAGGTAACTGTCAGCAACACAGCAGTAAATATCAACACAAAGCAGATTATTATTGTAGATCATGCAGGGAGGACAAAGGGTAAAATATTTCACTGTAGTAGTGTTTGACTATATTCTGTGCAGTGAGAAAACCTGAAGTCATTTTCAAGTTCCACCATTTCTTACTTCTTTTCAGCTGGGTCAAGTTTCTAAACTTTCTAAATCTCCGTTTTCCTAATGAAAAGAAAATAGGATTCTACTGAGTCTCCTATCTACCTACTCTAGGACTTCTGTGAGGATCAAATGAGATGAGGCATGTGAAAACGCTTCACAAACATTTGGTTAAAGTGTAAAATGTTTGCACCTGGCTATAAAAAGCAAGTCATGTTCCTGAGCTGAAGAAACTCCAAGGAGGCTAGTCGCTAGGAAGAGGAAGCCAGCAATTGCTACGTGACGTCATTACCTGGCGCCCACAGCAACCGTTTCCTGTCTGGGCTGGGCTGTGGGCCACATTTTGCACCAGAGGGTCTTGGCACATTGGCTGTGATTTGGTGGGGTATTGCTCTGGGGTGGTGGTGAGGCCTGTGTCCCACTTGGGGAAAGCTGAGTGTTGGTCTTGGGTGTCAGGTCCGCAGTGCCGTTTCTTTTTAAAAGGCCAGTGCGCGTCATGGCAGCTCCTGCGTTGAGCGTCTGCCCCCTGGTGGTCAGTGTGCGTCATAGCTACTGGCCGGACGGTCAGATGGACACAGGCTTTTATGTATATAGATGCTGGCTTTAACACCATAAGTGTTGTCTTCTTCTTCTTCTTCTTAAAGAGAGGAAGGGAGAGAGGAGAGGAGAGGGGAGGGGAGGGGAGGAGAGGAAAGAGAAGAGAAGAGAAGAGAAAAGGGAAGGGGAGGAGAGGGGAGGGGAGGGGAGGAAGAGGAAGAAGAAGAAGAAGAAAAAGAAGAAGAGAGAAACATTAATGTGAGAGAGAAACATCGATCTGACCAGCTGTCCTCACATAAGCCCCAACCAGGAACCAAACCCACAACCCGGGTGTGTACCCACAACCCAGCTGTCCTCACATAAGCCACAACCAGGAACCAAACCCTCAACAACTGGGAATTGAACCTGCCACTTTTTGGTGCACAGGACGATGCTCCAACCAACTGAGCCACACTGGCCAGGGCTTTTAGGTGCCTTCTCCATGTATGCTCACAGGGTAGAGCTCAGAAAAGCAGCTGTTACTTTTCTAGATTAATGGCTGTGTTGAATGGCGGGGGAGGAGGGAACGCACGAATATTTTTCCATACCATTGTAAAGGGTAATTCACTTGGTTTCAGACTCTCTTTCCCAAAACGAATTGCTCACCCTCCAAAACCCCACCTATAGACATTTTGGAGACATCACTGATTCAGTGGTAGCCCCTGTCTAATAGAGTGGTAAATTAAGAATCAGACACGGATCCTACGAATTTTGAGGAAATGGCAATATCTTAGAACTGTAAAGTGTGTCTGCCTCCCCACCACCCTAACTGCTGTCCATTTTGTAGGTCAGCTGCTTTGCTTAGCAGTACGGCCCAGAGGAGGAAGAATGTCTCTCCTATTTCAGCTTTGAGGGGTTCAGATTGCCCGAACTGGACTAGCATTTCTGAATTTCCTGGGATGCCAGGCTCTGTGGATTCCTTGGGAAGCTCTGCAGCACCTCCCAAATTCCCACCTCATTTAAAACCCCTACCACCCCCGCCCCTGGGCTGCTGGTGTCTGGAGCCACAGGGTCTACAGCTCAAATCCTGCCTCACTGTGAGGGGAGGGGAGGCTTAGTGGGAGGTGGTTGGTCCCTGGTGATTCTGGGAAAAGGCTCACTCTCCTGCAGCCGCTCAGAACAGTGGTAACAGAGGCTGCCTAAATAAAGGTTGGAACCTGGGGCGGGGGAGGGGTGTTTGGTTGCTAAGGGCACATGCATGACACAGATGCCAATTGTGACAAGGCTGCCAATTGTTGGGCTTCCGTCCAGTGCCTGGGTCACTCGCTGTGGCCCACTCACCTGGATCACTCGTGCCCTACTCGCCCTCCTCACCTGGGTTGCTCTCTGTGACCCACTTCCCTGAGTCCCTCGTTGTGACCCACTCGGCTGGGTCGCTCGCTTTGCCCTGGACCTGCTTGTCATGTCTGGGCTGCACCTCTGGGCCCCATGGCCCCTGTGTATGTGGCAGCTGTTGTGGCTGCTGGTCCAGGCAGCTCAGCCTTCAGAGTTGACCCTGGACCCTGTCCTGCTGACCTCCATCCCCTCGGGCCCAACCGAGCCCTGGCCTTTGGATCAGCAAACCCCCCCACCTGAGACTTCAAATGTCTTAAAAGAAGTTCAATCTCTGTTACTCCGACAAGAAGACTGGGCTCTGCCTACAGAGGCCCCTGAGAAAGTGAGACACCCTCCAGCCCTTCGGGAGGCCCCAGCTCAGCAAGCCGAAGCCTCTTCAACCCAGCCGGAGACTTCAGCTCAGTTCCCACCCCAACAAGGGGCCTCAGCTCGGCCTACAGTGTCCTCTGAGCCACTGAAACCTTGGTCAGTCCACCAAGGGATTCCAGATCAGCATCCCATCCCGGCTGAAAATGTCGAATCTTCGACCCAGTGGAAGAGCTCACTTCTGCCTCAAGTGCCTCTTGCCGGTGTAGACCCTTCTTCAGTCCATCAGAAGGGTGGAGCTCAGCCTCCAAAATCCTCTGTAGATGTTGCAACTCCACCTTCGGTCCATCATGAGGTGGCCGTCTCACCTGTAGGTTCGGGTGAAGCTCAGCGTCCCGCGCTGTCCCGTATGAACGTTAAAGATGTGGGCCTGGGGGTGTTGGTAGCTCCCGAGTCCACTAAGGAGATTGACCTGTTTGTAACTGGGCAGGAGGTCTCAGATCACCCTCCAAAGTCCGCAGAGGAAGTCAAAGCTCCAACCCAGCAGGGGACCCCTCCAAGGCCCCCTGAGGAGACAGACTCACCTCCATTGCAGCCGGAGGCCGCAGCCCAGCCTACTTTGGAGGCTACAGCCCTGCAGCAGACGACAGCTCCTCCGAAGCACCCTGAGGTGCCGCTTCCACATCCAGTGACTGTTCCGGCACTGCAGCCAGCCTTGACTGAAAGCACTGTTCTGCCTCTGGACCTGGAAGTTCGAATAACTCAGCAGCCAGAGTCTTCTGAGACAGTTCCTCCACAGACTGAACCGAGTGCCACCACGAACATATGTGAGCTCTGTGCCTGCAGCAATGGGACGCTGTCCTGTATCGGTCTCGGCCCAACGGAGAGGCTCCGCAGAGTGCCTGTGCCAGAGCCCAACAGCTACAAGGGCACCTTCTCTGTCTTGTAAGAACTGCCTTTCCTCTTTTGTTCTCTGCATCCTACCTGACAGGGCAGCCTTTTCCCTGAGGTCTTCCTTGGCTTTCCTCATCTTCTCCAACCCACATTGACTGACACTCTGTTATTTTGTGTTTGTCAACTATTTCTTATCTTCATTCTCCTTCTTACTATTGTTTCCTCCTTCACCAGTCTTTTAATTGCCCATATTATTTTTCCTTACCCATTTTTTAGTCCCATTATTTTAGTCCTTAACCTCTAATTACCTCCCACTTTTGCTCCATCCTCTTTACAGCAACATGGCTCTCTCCCCATCTCACTGGTAGTGATAAAACAGAGCGGTTAAGAAGAGAGATTCTAGAGCCAGAGTGACTAGATTTGAGCCTAGGGAGGTCATTTATTAGTGTTGGGACTCAATTTCCTCATCTGTAAAATGAAGATAATGATAGTTGCTATCTCATAGGATTGTTATAAGAGTTAGATGAGTGAATATATGTAAAGTACTTGTGTCAGTGCCTAACATATGTATGTGTTAGCTATTATTATTATTAAATCCCTCAGTTATATCCAGAACTCATCTTTGCCTCCTGGCTTTCTATGTGTATCACCCATTTTGTATCCAACCCAGAGCTAAGTACTGTGGGAGCCACAGAAGTGTGACATTGTCTATAGAACATGACAATGGTAGGTGGGAAGAAAGAGAATATGCATAAAAAAGGAGGTAACATATAATTAAGTACTAAAAGATACAGACCAGAGGTGCAATACTTCAGCAGAATCTATAGTCATTGGGGTGTGGAAGTCAGGAAAAGCTTTATGGATAAGCTAGAACGTTCGCTGGGATTTAAAGGATGGCTATGGTTTGTTAAACAGAGAACTACTAATGAGTGCAGTCTAGGCAGAAGCATGGCTGGAGGAATAGACCAGTCTGGTTGTAAAGAATTGGTTTGGGAAGCAGTGAAAAATAATGATTATGAAAAACCTTGGCTCTCAGCTATAGGGGTTTGGAAGTTACACTGAGATTGGGAGAGCCACTGGAAGTTTTCAAGTGAGAGAGACAGATGATTAAAATAGGATTATTTCCGATTCCATACGTAGAGCTATCTAGAAAGGAAAGCTTGATTCGGGGAGACCAAATAGAATGCGCTAGCAAAATCTAGGAGTAAAGTGGGAAGGCGCTGAATCAGAGTAGTTGTGATAGGAGTAAAAAGAGAACCCTGGGAACACTATAAAGGAACAACTGACAAGGTTTAGTGACTGACTGGAGATGGGAGATGGAATGTACAGGAAAGAGAAAAATCAAATATGACCCTGTAAAATTTCTGCCCTGGATGATGAGAACAATGGTGATATGACAGGCGGACATCCATCGGTTGGGAAGGAGAGCCTGTGTGAGGGAGATGAGTTCAGTTTGGCCATCTTTCATTGGTGAGCGTAAGTAACCAGAAGGCTTCGGTGGAGTGGCAATGTCCCCTAGGCAGAGGTGCAGGTAGGTAGGTGTTTGGCTTTTTCTGACCTTCCTGGAAAATGTGTTTGTAAACTGAATAGGTACGTTGTTGCTGAGGGAAGAGGACAAAGCTAAAGGTAAAGACTCAGTCACCCACAGAGTTAGTGGTTGAACCTGAACCTCAGGAATTGAACAGCTTCTTTTAAACACTTGTAATTCATAGATATAGTCTCACTGTGTGTTTTTAAATGTCACAGAAGTAGATAGTATAAAATGTGAAAATCCCACCCTCTCCCACTGTGTGTCTATCCTTCCATCCAATCTCTTTTACTCCCTTTCCTTTTCTTTTTCCCTTTCCCTTTCCCTTTCTCCTTCCTCCCTCCCTCCCTCCCTCCCTTCCTCCCTCCCTCCCTCCCTCCCTCCCTCCCTCCCTCCCTCCCTCCCTCCCTTCCTCCCTCCCTTCCTTCCTTCCTTCTTTCTTTTTTCTTTCTTTCTTTTTGCATTTTCCCCTAAAATATTAATACTTTACTCCTTGTTCAGTGATTTGTGCTTTTCCCTGTCAAATATGTCTATGAGAGCTTTCCATATTAATTGTCTCAATTCTGACTGCCCTTATCCTTCTAAGACCTGGAGAGATTTCCACAGAGTCACTGAGCCAAAGCTGTGGTGTGGCCTGGCATAAGGTTTCTTTATGTTTATTTACTGATAATGATAAATTTTTGCCATTTTTCTGTTGAATTATTCTTTTCTCATTGATTTGTAGAAGTCATTTATTTTTTTTTTAATTTGTAAATATTTTTTTTTTTTAGAAGTCATTTTAGATTTTAGAAAGAGTGCATTCCAAGTCTTAACTGGCATTACCCATCCAAGAGAAGTTCAGGTTCTGAGGAGCTGCCTCATTACAAATTGTCTTTGTTAATTGTGCAAACTGGGAAGCTGATAGCTGTGGAAATTGGAAGACTGTTATTTCCTGCATTTGAATATTCCCCACAAGGTTGCCATGATGTTTTACTTATTCTGTTCATTCTTTTCCTACTTATTCAAGCATATTAATTGTTTCTTCACAGAAACTTGCAAGGAAACTTAATTTCTTACATCAATAAAGATACATGGAAGCCATACCATTTTGTTGCAAAACTGTGAGTATATTCTCTCCAAAAATGAATACAAAAAATAACTAACTGCATTGTACGATCCTTCTTGGTCCAGAATTTTGAGGTCAGTAACTCTGATAAATGGTATTTCCCCCTCCATGTCCCAAATCAATCACTATTGATTGCATTTCTGTTTGTTTTAAAAATTAAATTTGGCAGGCCCTCTTTTAAAAAAATTTTTTTTTATTGATTTCAGAGGCAAAGGGAGAGGGAGAGAGAGATAGAAACATCAATGATGAGAGAGGATCATTGGTTGGCTGCCTCCTGCATGCCCCCTACTGGGGATCAAGCCCACAACTCAGGAATCCAACCCTGACCTCCTGGTTTATAGTTCGACGCTCAACCACTAAGCCACGCCAGCAGGGCTGATATATTTTAATTGTCCTCAAAGAAGTTGTGCCAACTTACACTCCAATCAGTGGGCCACGGCAGCATCTATTTCCCTCTACCTTTTCACCACTGCATAGTCTCCAGTTTTTGGCTGATCTAATAGGTGAATAAATTTTAATTTTTCTGATTAATTGTGAACTTAAGTACTTTTATATATGTATTGAACATTTGTATTTCTTCCCTGAATTTGCCCTGCCCGTTTTTGCTCATTTTTTAAATACTGATTTGTAGAAAAGTCTATTTAGGCACATAAGTCATTTGGGGAAAAATATTTACATCAAAGTACCTGATATTTTTCATGACAGTTTGTGTGTCATCTTACTAGTTCAACTTGAACAGATTGTCATGAATGACTTCTGAATTATTAATAAAAGACATAATAATGGCACCATTACCCCATATATATTTCTGTGCAGTAAATAGTTGTAGTTATTTTGCATTTTGATCCAGAAATAACCTTTTCATTTTTCAGAAATCTCAGTGGAAATAATTTGAGAGAATTACATAAGGATTCATTTGAAGGCCTGATGTTCCTCCAGAGTTTGTAAGTTAATTATATTTATTTGAGTTTTGTTTTTGTTTCTATTTGAGTTTTTCGTTATGTTACCGGTAAAATAAATAAGGGTTTCAAAACAGATTATCTCTACAATTTCTCCCATCAATAAAATTCTACAATTCTGTAAGTTTGTGTAGGGCTCCAGCCAATCTCTAGCACTTAATATCTCCTATGCATTTTCTTTTTTTAAATCATATGGACAAGATACAGATAGAAAAACTCTTCAGTTATAGAGGAAAAGTGGTAATTTGATGTAAGTAATTATACATACCCATATGAGCCTTGTTATATAAGTGTTCATATACCATCTGCTTATGTTTATATTTACTTTAGAGTCCATGATCAAATTGGACCTATGGTGTATGTGGTTTTACAACACTTAAGTTAAGAATGATTTTTGTTTATTTCATAAACTAGAGGCCCAGTGCATGAAATTCGTGCATGGTTAGGGTCCCTAGGCCTGGCTGGCGATCAAGGCCAATTGGCACCTTCTGGCTGCCAGCCAGGGCCTTCCTTTGTTCTGCACTGCCCCCTGGTGGTCAACTCGTGTCATAGCGAGCAATTGAACTCCTGTTCTCCCGGTTGAACTCCCAAGGGGACACTTTGCATATTAGCCTTTTATATATAGAGAGATATTTGAATTTTCATATGTTCACATGTCTGTTTTTAACATAGTAGACAATGCAAATGAGCAAGACTCAGTGCATACTTTCAAGGAGTTATTCTCAGAGGAAATAGGATGCAAAAATAACTTTTAAAACGAGGAAATAGATATGGGCAATGAGAGCTATCAATTGGTTTTGGTTACAGCAGAGGGAAAAGAGACTTCAAGTTGGATTAGCAAAGATGTTACTAGAGTAGCTTTTTGAACAGGACCTTGAAGGGCCCTTGGGGATCATCAGACAGACATCTTGGGTAGAATAAGCTTGCAAAGGAGCACATGGAAAGGCAAGACACAGGAAAAATACATTGTAGAGTACAAGTAGAGAGAGTAGGAATTTAGAATCAGATCATCTAAGGCTTTGAATGCCAAGCTACCATGTTATCACACCAGTGCTCTAGGACAAACGTTAGCCTACAACAGAATCTCAGGCTGCACCCCAAAGTTACTGATTCAGTAGGTCCAGAGGAGGATTGAGAATTTGCATCTTCAGTAAGTTCCCAAGTGATGCTGGCTGGTATTTGAGAGTCACTTCTGGAGAGCTAATCTAGTGACTGTGTGCAGGATGGATTAGAAAGGAGGAGATTACAGAGGGAAATGCCAGTCAGAAAACAGTGATACCCATCCAGGTGAAAAGTGAGGGACTAAAGTGGAATCAATGGAAATAAGAGAGCCAGCTATAGACAACAGTGGGTGTTTTCAAGTAAAAATTCAGTGCCATGTTGTTTTCTGTTGCCCCACCACTGTACAGCTGAAGCAATTACATTCACGGATTCTTAAAGCAATGTAAAATAAAAAATGAATTTCTATTAATATAATAGAAAGTATCATTCTGAGTTAGTTCAAAGTTCTGTAGTATTAGAGAAGTAACTTCCTTTCAAGTTATGTGAAAAGGCATCTTTTATTTCATCTGATATTGAATTGGCTTAGACAAACAGAACTAAACCAGAAAGGTGTGTAAATGTGAGACTATTTCTTTTAATATTATACATTTATAAATACATATGAACAGACAACCTTTGAGCTCATAATCTAAATTTGATAATTTGATGGGACCATAAAAGGTTATCTAGTTGATTCTTCTGCTCTCAGGAAAGATTACCTTTAAAGTCTATCAAGATCTACAGTTGCATATTTTATTTATGAAGATTATGAAAATGAGAGAGGTGAGGGCAAGGTTAGGGGCTCTGAAAGGTTCAAATCACAATTCCTAAGATTTTGAGTTTAGACTAAAGTTGCATTTTCAATATTATCATTCTAACCTCTACCAATTATTCCTACTAATTAGATATCTAGTGGCTAATTGAGGCACTATTTTTCTTTTACTTTTTCTAGAGATTTATCCTGCAATAAAATACAATTTATTGAAAGGAATACATTTGCATCACTACCTTTTTTGCGATATATGTAAGTTATAAATATAACTTCATTATTTTTATAATTTTTATAAAACTTAATTTTAAACCTCATGGTTATTCACTGTTTTGTATCTAATGTACCACATATATAAGCAGATCTCTTCTACAGAGAGATTTATTTAGTGTGTGGAGGGAGTATTGAGGTTGTTTTATCATATATAAATTAGAATCACTGCCAAAAGATAAATGATCTGAAAGAATACTTTTTGTCGTCTTTTGCTTATGTCTGTTTGTAGAAATCTTGGTTGCAATTTAATCACAAAAGTGAGCTTTGGAACGTTTCGGGCCTGGCATGGAATGAAGTTTTTACACAAGTTGTAAGTGAAGTAGAAGATAAACATATGTAAAAAGCTATGTGTAACAACATCATACAGTGATTGGTTAGCTGGATGTAAGCCCAGTTTGAATTCTGAAAAGTATGGCTTAAGAGCCCTTCATTTTTTATTCAAATGAGGAAACTAAGGTACAAAGAGAACAAGAGACTTGTCTAACTCATGTGTGGCACTGTCTGCTTTCCTTAGTGCTGACCTTTGGCACGGGCAATAGAAGGCGCCAAGCACATAACATTCAAAGTAGCATCGTCATGGGAATCCCGGTGGTGCTGCTGCTCCGATAGATGAATGGTCCTTGAAATTCTACATCTGAATTGAACTTTGATTCCTGTTCATGTGCAAAGTTTCTAAATATATGCAACATCGAACTGAAATAATTAAGTTTAGCTCAGAGTTCTCCAGGGAGCAAAAGGTGTGGGTGTTTCCTCAGCCATGAGTCTCTTTTACTAATAAATGGCAAAGCAGAAAGAATTCCTAAAAATCTGCCACAGGGTCCTTCTCTCCCCAGTCACCCAGAACATTATTTTTCAGAAAGTGTATGCCTCTGAAGTGAATATGGCTGTGTATGCTAAGGTGTGGTGTGAAAAAATATAAAGAAAAAAATAATAGCTGTAGCCCCATTCCAATTTCTTTCCCGGCTCTCGGAAGGAAACCATCCCGTCACTCTGCATTGCTCTAGAAAATCCTGTCTGTCCACAGCTGTAGGTACAGCTGTACGAGTAGAGGCAAACCAATTAATGTTTAGTGTTGACTTCAAATAGTCGAGTGTCAAGAAAACAGAAACCACAAAACTGACCCCAAAATTTGGTATTGAAACCAGGATGTGTGAGTCCTCCCACGTTGTTCCTCTTTATCAAGGTTGTTTTGGCTATTCTGGGTCCCTTGAATTGCCATATGAGTTTAGAATTAGTTTGTCACTTTCTGGAAAGAAGTCAGTTGGGATTTTGATAGGGATTGCTTGAAACCACACATCATTTGGGGGAGTATGGCCATTTTAACAGTATTATCTTCTGGTCAGTGAACAGAGCATGTCTTTCCATTTATTTAGATCTTCTTGAATTTCTTTGAACAGTATTTTGTAATTTTTAGTGTATGAGTCATGCACTTCTTTGGTTAATTTTTTCCCTAAGTATTTCATTCTTTTTGATGCTATTATACATGGAATTGTTTTCTTCATTTTATTTTTCTATTACTCATTGTGTATAGAAATATAGTTAATTTTTGCATATTGGTCTTGTACCTTGCAACCTGGCTGAACTCATTTATTAGCGCTATTGTTTTTTTCTAGATTCCCAGGAATATGTCTCATGGTTTTCCAGTTTTCCAGACATAGGTTAGAGAACTTCAGAGTCTCTACGGACACCTCATTTCTCAGCTTTTACTTTTAAGTTTTTTGGTTAGGCTATTTTTTGTGTTTCTGTGCTGTTAAACATTGCCTCAGCAGCTGCCATGTTAAAACATTTACCTGTAATTGTTTTCAAAAACATTTCCCCTGAAGAAAGAGGCTTTTGGCAGAGGCAGCTCTCAGTCAGGTCAACGACAAGTCTTTCAAGTGAGGTCTTCCAGGGAACCACGAGACAGCTCTTTGGGAATGAGATTTTGTTTCTGCCTGTACTGGGGATGTGGACTATTTTCCAGGGTTACCCATGGGAGGGAGAGCAAAGGTCTAAAATGAGATCAAGCAATACAGATCACTGTTCTTATGATTAATTTAATTTTTCTTGAATAAATGTCTCCTGAATTCCTGTAAGCCTGTTGGTTAAATTTCCAGAGTTTGAAAAAGTTGATTCTATTTTTGCCAGCTGTTTGATGTTGCCCTTTTTAGGGATGAATTTTCAGGAGCCTTATTCCACCATTCTCACTGACTTACCTACACACGATTTTAAATCTCTAAAGTCTCAACGACTGCAAGCTAGTTAAATATTTAATCATGGGAGGTGATTAGGAAACAGAAATAAAAAGAGAAAATGTAATTTTCTCTCCCAGATGGGTACATGACATCTGAAAAGGTATTTCTATGTTCGGTAGCCTCAAAATCAAGGTTGAACTAACAACTATTTTAAACTCCTTTTCTTCATACAGGCTAAACACAGGCTTTCAAGTCAGAACTGAATTCAAATTCCAGCTCTGCTTCTTACTAGTTTGATAACCTAGGGCAACTTATGTAACCTCTCTGTGCCTCAGTTTCCTCATTTGTGAAATAGGGTAATAATATTTATCAATAAGGTTACTGTGGGGATTAAATGTGAAATGCTCATCACAGATGCCCAGCAGCCTAATTGGTATTAGCTGTGATAATTATCTTTCTAATATTCTGTAAAAGTACACTAATGATTCTTTTTTGTTGTTAAGCCTCACCTGAGGATATTTTTCTATTGATTTTTAGAGAGAGTAGAAGGGAGGGGGAGAGACAGAGAGAAACATTAACGTGAGACAATCGATTTGTTGCCTCCCTCATGGCAGGGATCGAGCCTGCAACCCAGATATGTGCCCTTGACCAGAATCAAACCCTCGAAACTTCAGTCTGCAGGCTGATGCTCTATCCACTGAGCCAAACCAGCTAAGGCCACTAATAACTTTAGAGTTAACCTAAAGACAGGTTTTCTTTTCATCCTGTTTCTCCTTGTTTTGTTTTTTGTTTATTTGTTTTGTTTTAAAGAATTGAGGAGAAAATTTATTTTACCATTTGAAATGAAATTTTGTGTCAAAAATGAATTTGTTCATTGTATTGATATATAAATAAAATGTCATTTATTTATTAAACAAACATTTATTAAATACCTAGTAAATGTCAAGCACTATGTCAGACACATTGTGGTCCCTGCCCTCAAGGGGCTAACGGTCCAAAAAACGTACAAGTAAACAGGTGATTACATACGATGCAGGCCTGTGACACAAGAGTAAACATGGGAGTATGTGATGGGAGCATGGCTTTCACCGGGTCCTCTTAGATTTATCCCTTCTTTGGCTCAAAACCAAGGAATTAGTCCTATTTTTGTCTTTAACTGGGTGGTTTAAACTGTGGAATTATTTTAATTTCTAGAGATGAAAGAAAAGTCCCTTAAATTATGAAGGACACTAGAAAAAGTATTTCCTATAGAGCACAGTCACTTCTAGGGTTTTCATTCTGAAAAGTTCTTCAGCAGTTTTCCCCGTATGCAGTCTGCTTTTCTCCTTCCTCCTCCTCCTCCTCCTCCCCCCCCTCCTCCTCCTCCCCCCCTCCTCCTCCCCCTCCTCCTCCTCCTCCTCCCCCTCCTCCTCCTCCTCCTCCTCTCCTCCTCCTCCTCCCCCTCCTCTTCCTCCTCCTCCTCCTCCTCCTCCTCCTCTTCCTCCTCCTCCTCCTCCTCCTCCTCCTCCTCCTTCTCCTCCTTCTCCTCCCCCCCTCTTCTTCCTCCTCTTCCTCCTCCTCCTCCTCCTCTTCCTCCTCCTCCTCCTCCTCCTCCTCCTTCTCCTCCTCCTCCTCCCCCCTCCTCTTCCTCCTCTTCCTCCTCCTCCTCCTCCTCCTTCTCCTCCTTCTCCTCCCCCCCTCTTCTTCCTCCTCTTCCTCCTCCTCCTCCTCCTCTTCCTCCTCCCCCCCTCCTCTTCCTCCTCTTCCTCCTCCTCCTCCTCCTCTTCCTCCTCCTCCTCCTCTTCCTCCTCCTCCTCCTCCTCCCCCTCCTCCTCTTACTTTCTCATGTTCACTTTATCATTTAGAAAACTGGGTAACTCTCTGAAAAGGAGTCCTGTACGGTTTCTAAGGGTGATCTATATGGATAAAGACAGAAAGTTATTTTTTTCAACCTTCAAGTTTTGTACCAACAAAACGAATATAAACTTTCATGGCAATTATTGAAAATGTAGACAATTTTCATTCCATTGCATTTTTTCAGAATTCTCGATCGTAATCCTCTGACAGCTGTCCACGATCCATATCTTTTTAAATTGCCAGCATTAAAATATTTGTAAGTATTGCTCATGAGATGATTTCCGCTTTCTTACTTTCATCAGTGATTAAGTACTTTGTGTTTTGACTAAAAGGTCATAATTTACATTTTAACTGGGTGATTGGATAAGAGTTATTGGCACAGAAAAATGATTAAGAAAGAATGCATATGAACAAGACAGCCAACAGAGGAAGGGAGCGGCATTGAAGAACACATACAGATTTGGAACATGTAGATGCATGTAGAAATACTGTTGACCTCAGAAAGAAAAAAGAAAGAAGTTGTGTGTTACGTATTAAAAGAGTAATCAAGTGGTGGGCACAATAGAGAATGAGAAGTAGGATAGCGGTTTTAATAAAAGAAAAAAGATTGTATCACCAAGGTCATTCATTTGATGACACAAATAAATTTAAATTTCTTCAAGAAGAGCTCTCTGAAATTATCATCTTTGGCTTTGACAGAAGCCAAAATTGAAGTACTCACATGTTGCTAAGTGTCATATATATATATATGAATATGATTGATTTTTTACAGAGAGGGAGAGAGATAGTTAGAAACATCGATGAGAGAGAAACATCGATCAGCTGCCTCCTGCGCACCCCCTACTGGGGATATGCCCGCAACCAAGGTACATGCCCTTGGCCGGAATCGAACCTGGGACCCTTCAGTCCGCAGGCCGACGCTCTATCCACTGAGCCAAGCCGGTTAGGGCGCTACGTGTCTTTGTAGGTGTACAGCTTTTGTCTCGGGGTTTATATCATGCATGTCTGGGCTTTCTCCTCCAGAGACATGGGGAGGACGCAAGTGTCACTTACAACAGTTGTGAGCATCCTCATGATGGCCCCTCAGTTGGAAAAATTGTAAGTTGATTTTTCTTATATTTATTTTCACTTAGTCGTTCTTTCAGCTTCTTTTATGATTTTCTTAAGTCAGGCTTCTTGAGGCCAGGTAACCACATAAAGTGTTTTATGCCCAGAGTAATTTCTAATATATGTACCATTCACAATTAGGAATTGAGAAGGGACTCCATAAGATGGGGACTTATCCAGAGTCTTCTTAGAAGTCTTCCCTCTTCCTGTGTATTCTCAACCCAAAGTGAGACCTTTGGGTTGGGAAAAGGAGATACTTCTGAATTAAACTACTTGTTAGTGTCACCCAATTCGAATGCCTATCACCTTTATTCTAGGCATTCCGTACCCACTACCATGCTTATCTTTCTGTTGGGCACTTCTGTCCTCCACTCTATTTACTATATTCAAGAGTAGCAAATGGCCAGCTGATCCCTACCAAACTGCTCAGGCGATATACCCAAACAACTCTTTTGTTGTTGTTAATCCTCTCCCAAGGATATTTTTTTCCATTGATTTCAAAAAAATTTTTTTAATCCTCACCTGAGGACATTTTTCCCATTGATTTTCAGACACAGTGGAAGGGAGGATGGAAGAAGGGAAGAGAGGAGAGAGGAAGAGAGAGAGAGAGAGAGAGAGAGAGAGAGAGAGAGACATTGATGTGAGAGAGACACATCCATCGTTGCCTCCAGTACTTGCCCTGACTGGGGCTGGGATCCAATCCAAGACCCTTCATTGTGTAGGCCGACGCTCTAATCATGGAGTAACTCCGGCCAGGGCAGCCCCAACAATTCTTTTCGTCACAGCTCTGTGGTAGCCTTGGTCTACCAACCCAAGTAACTCCTTTGTCACTAATTTAATTCTCTGTGTTTCCATTTATAGGATCTTACCTAGCCATTTGACCTGCTGCCTCTGCCAATTTAGAAATAATATTGAGACGGTTGCCAAGACAGTCAAACTGCATTGTGACACTGAATGTCTGAAAAACATACCTTGTGGTGAGTCTGAATTGCCCAAAGATAAACTTTTAAAATTTTATTTATGTTTTAATTTTTAAGCGATGATAATAAATTTTTAAACAAATACTGTAACTGCATTGTTTTTATTCATTCATTCAGAGTTCAACTGCCTAGATTTCTAAGAACTACACCTTGCTCAAAGTCAGATAAAGAACAAGAGAGGAATAGAGGGGGAAGAATGGAAGGGGGAAGGGTGTTAACATCAACGGCCACATAGTGTGTGTTGTGCTCTCTGCTTGGTGCTTTACTTACAAATGAGAACTTGTTCATTAGTGTGTCAGTTTGTAAACTGGTTTTGTAGGCATGAGGTTTCAATTGCCCTTTGCCTTGTAGGACGGGTATAGATACATCTTTTTAAAAAAAATATATTTTATTTATTTTTTACAGAGAGGAAGGGAAAGGGATAGACAGTTAGAAACATCGATGAGAGAGAAACATCGATCAGCTGCCTCCTGCACCCCGCCCCACTGGGGATGTGCCCGCAACCAAGGTACATGCCCTTGACCGGAATCGAACCTGGGACCCTTCAGTCTGCAGGCTGACGCACTATCCACTGAGCCAAACCGGTTAGGGCTAGATACATCTTTATTTTGTTTATTTTTGCAATTTTATAAAAAAGAATACAAATGATGCTATTTTATTTGGAATTTGAGAGTTTCTGGATGCATCCCCAGAAGCTGCCACCCAGCCCTTCTAATGGATGGGAAGGCTCTTGTATCCTTAGACCAGCGGCTGCCTCACACCATCCAGCTCTGAACTTGCTCTGAAACACAAGATTTTCTATCCACCAAACACACAGGTGCTTTAAAGTACCTTCCTACATATTAGGCTCTTGGCACCTACTTGATAACCACCAAACTGTGCTTTCATGCCCAGATAGCACAGGTCTCTGTCAGTGATCTGGGGCACATCATAAATAATAATGCTGTTGCTTATTTTTCAAAACAATGTGTTGACCAATTATATAACTCCCTTTTACCTCAAGGGTGGGCAGAACAGGCATTTTAATCTCCTTTCACGGGTGAGTAAAAACAAGGTCAGAAAATGCTAAGTGCTGTCACCTAGGGCCAGGTCTTTGGTTTCAAGTTGGGGCTCTCCGCAAGCCCATGTTCCCTCTTTCTCAGGAACCTTACCCCCTTCTCTGGCCCTCGCCGCCACCAGCAATATTTGTAATTTTTCTGGAAAAAAACCCCAGCGGCACAATGGTACATTTGACCTTCATGCAGTCAGAAGCTTTGGATGGTTCCCCAAGTCAAGCTGAAAAATAAATGACATGAAATGAAAGCAAAGTAGGCATCTGACAAAAGTTGCTCTTTTCACCCTAGTCCAGTGGTCGGCAAACTGCGGCTCGCGAGCCACATGCGGCTCTTTGGCCCCTTGAGTGTGGCTCTTCCACAAAATATCGACTTCTGCGCATGGGCCACAAAGTTTCAATCGCACTGTACGTGTGCACCCGCACGTGGTATTTTGTGCGGGAACTGAAGGGTCCTGGGTTCGATTATGGTCAAGGGCACATGCCCTGGTTGCAGGCTTGATCCCCAGTAGGGGGCGTGCAGGAGGCAGCCGATCAATGATTCTCTCATCATTGATGTTTCTGTCTCTCCCTCTCCCTTTCTCTCTGAAATCAATAAAAATATGTATTTTTTAAGTTGCTCTTTCCCCAAGTATTATTCCATAGATTTATTGACCATTCCACAGTGGCACACAGACCTGGCAAATCTCTTAATCTATATCCCAGATGCCTGCCTATATTTAAGCAAAGAGCTAGAGTGGACATGGTGTTTTTTTCTGTATAGAGCCTTCTGTTATGGGGGCCGGGATATATGGAAGTAGGGACCAAGCTAAGGAATCGATGGGTAAGTGGAGAAGGCTGTGTCCAGATGAGGACCTGCTAGCAGAGGGCATTAATCATGGTCATCTGTGATGGTAGCAAGAACACAAGCTCCCTGAAGAGTGGAGAGAGGTGTGGTGTGGTGTGAAAAGCCTCCAGCCTCCAGCCCCCTCTGCATCTGAGGCAAGACAGGAGGGCTACCTGAATGTGGGGAGTCACAGTAGATCTTCAGGTTCTCACTGAGTGCGTCTTCCAGACTTGGCATTTCTTCAGTAAGTGGCAATTGGCCCTTGGGGACCAATGGAATAATCCTAAATATAATCCTAAATATAGTTCCATACTATTGAATGTTCTCAGTAAATAACCACTTTTTAAAACGATACCTTGTCTCCTTTTGTTGTGTTGACAATCATAGGTTTCAGCTGGGTTTATTTTTCTCCTCTCTAAATGGTACTCTCGTATTTGCTGATTCCCAGTTTATCTGACTGGGAGGGATGGCTGTGGACGGACAAAGAGCTGTCCCGTGAGTCGTTCAGTATCAAACGTGGTCTCTTCTTTTTTGACAGATGAAGGACTACTTATAGAAGGACCGTTCATGAAAGTACTGCCAGGCCGGAAGGACACCCGCACTGAGCTGACTATTGAGCCAGAGTGGGCATCCTCAGACAGAAACGGAGAGAGTTCACCATCCCTAATGCGTGAGCGGCTAGACTTTAATAAGAGTGATGTTATGCGTGCACCAAGTTACAGATTGCCCTATTTCTTGGAGGAAAATCCAGAAAATATAGAACCAATGTTATTACCATTCATTAAACTCCTTTTTCAAATGTGCAAGATGGAGACATGTCCCTGAGTCATTTGATAAACAACAGAGGGAATCTCTCTCTTAAACCTGAATTTTACCATTAAAGTTACAAAAATAAATTGAGGAAGCTATTTTCCGGAACAGGCCCCCCGAAGACGCTGCTCAGTAAACAGCAAGAAGAAACTGTCTCCAAGGCAGAGCGGGATGCGGATCAATGGAAAAAGCAGTGGCTGGAAGCTCAGGGTGAACAGGAAGAGGAGGAGCCCCATGAGGTGAGGACAGCTCCCCAAACATAAGGCCTGGACTTCTAGTCAGTTTAGGACACGCCTTGAAAGCACCCAGGCAGGAAGGCCAGGGCGCCTGATCTGAATCTTGTCTTGGCCAAAGGAGGGGCTAAGACAGTGATCCCCTCCTTTGCTCATTTAGAGAACGGCGCCACTGTTCCAAGGGTAGACGAGAAAAGATAAATAAATGGTACAGAAAATGCTATTGCTCAGATTACAAAGTACATTAGATTTGCTATGTTCTTTAAGAACCTACAAGCTATTCACCTGAAAGAATGGGGTTTTAGAGTAGTAGTTAAGACTAGTTATCCCTGGCCAGTGTGGTTCTATGGTTATAGCATCGGCCCACGCATGTAAGGGTCATTCTTTCCCTTCCACTCTCTCTAAAAATCAATGAAAAAAATATCCTCACATGAGGATTGAGAACAACAAAAGGAATAGTTAGAATAGGCTAGAGAATAGTTTTTTTTCCTTTTCATCTTTTTTCTTTAATACGTTCTTTGTTTTTGTTTTTAGCTCACAAAAGAAGTGCCAGGATATGGCTATAACAAGAATCTCATCGTGGCAATAATTGTGACTATAGTAACAATAATTTTTATTGTAATTTTCTGTCTCATTGTGGTAAGACAACAGTTGATTCAGATTTCCAAAATATATTCCGTCTTTAGAATAGATTCAGAACCCACAACCTGAAAATCAAGTTCACTTTCCCACCTACTCCTACTTGATATTCCTCTTTAGTCATGAGCACTGAGAAATGCTTTGTTCTTTTACTACAAATTATATTCCAGGGATTTTTAAAGGAAGCCCACCCCACTCCCAGAGATCTCTGTGGAAGTGAAATCAAGATAACAAGAATAGTTAAAAAATTAAGTTTAATAAGCCAGAGCTGACATGATATCAAAATTTCTTCAATTCAAAATGGATGATGTTAATTTGATGTACTCACAATTACTCTCTTTCTATCGCTGATTTTTTTCCTTGTTGGCTGAAGTGAGGAGAGATAGAGGATCTCCACCTCATGGAGCTATGTCACCCTGGAAGAAAGGACCAGGCTAAAAGATAAAAGTATGATCTTGTCAGTTCAGAAGATTTACTCAGCAGCTTTCTTCTCCAGTGTGTAAGATATGGTGGTGTAAATAGGTTCCGTTAAAACACAGCAACCTAAAGCCTGCATCAGGCTTCTTTAAAGCATGTCATGTTAGAGTCACCTGTTCCTGGCGCTTGCCTGTGTCCCTTTGTTCAATTACATGATGGTGTATTTTCCCTACAGGCAGGTTGCTAACATTGAAGAGTGACTTACTAAGCTGGGGATCTTGACTCTACCCTACTATCCAATCTAATTTACCTTTTCAACAGTCATGTCAGCCCTCCATTCAGACAAAGCAGCCCCTCACCATAATCCAGCCACACCATGCCCATTCCCACTTTTGTTTGTGCCTAACCCACCTAAAATCCCCGTATTGTGCTCTCTCTGAAGAAGTCCTGTGAATCTCTCAAAAGCCAGTTCAAGTTCATCTTTCTTCATGAAATCTTCCCTGAGTACTCCAGCCCCGCTGATCCTACTCTTCTTCTTAAGTTTTGTCACCATTTTTTTTCAGGGCGATAGTGAGGCATCCCCCTCCCCTGAGAACCTAAAAATATGGTAAACAATTTTTACTCCCTATCCCAGCCAATTTGGTTCAGTGGATAGAGCGTCAGCCTGTGGACTGAAGGGTCCCTGGTTCGATTCCGGTCAAGGGCACATGCCTGGGTTGCAGGCCCAATCCCCAGTGTGGGGCATGCAGGAGGCAGCCAATCAATGATTCTCTTTCCTCATTAATGTTTCTATCTCTCTCTCCCTATCTCATCCTCTCTGAAATCAATAAAAATATATTAATAATAATAATAATAATAATAATAATAATAATAAGTGGCACCCCAAGAGAGAAATACTAAGGTTAACATATCATGGAGCAGAGTCGAGATGTATAAGGACCAAATGGCTTCCTGGTCCATCAGACTTGAGTAAAACCTGATGGGACATATTAACTGCTAAGGAGAAACCTGCCTATCGGCAGGAGGGTTGGTCAGCAAAAAGCAGAGGAAAGGGGAAGAGGAGACCAACATGAGCACTGTCCATCCCAGCATTGCTTACGTGTGGAGATGGCCTCCCAGGCCGCAGATGTGGAGAGTCAGGCCCACTAGCCAGGCTGTGCCTGTTTGGGAGACAGATGGACCCTGCTCAGTCCTTTCCATTAAACACTGGATTCAGCTCATTCCTTTTGTTCTAATTCTGTTCTCACCAGTGGCCTTCTGATTGTGCTTTGGTGAGCCATGGTGGCCTACCTCTACAGAATGTATTTCCCTGATCATGTAGAGACAGATGCTGTCTGTGGAACAGATGTAGTTCTCACTGTCAGGTCATAATCTGGCATTCTGACTTTTTTATTAATCCTGCGGTATTGATAAGGTCAGACTTCCCCTGTAGGAAGAAGTGAGTTCTGTCTTGGTGAGGACAGAGTCTGATTTCTAAGCTAGGAGGCTGGGGACCAGCATGGGGACCAGTTGGCCAAGGCCTCTGGGAAGAAAGTACCTGGCCATTGCCCAGACAGTACCCTCTACATCTCCAGGTGGCTTATGGCCCTTTGCTTTTTTGGAATTTCTTTAAACTCCTGTACTGCATTTAATGTCTGTGTAGTTTAACTTTACATTTATATATATGGTTTCATTATTTCCTCTCCCCACTTAGATGATAAGCTTTTTGAGGATGTGGACAGTGATAGCGTTCAAAGGCAGAAAGATGAGGCATTTTGTCAGTTTCACAACGGGGACTGATGCAACTTAATATTTAATTTGAAGTAGCATACAGAGTCCAGCAATAGACAGACCCATGTGTTCCTAAGACTTTTGAAATGTCATCTTGCAATATTCTAATCAGTGAAATATAATTAATAAATGGTAATCAAACAGCTACTTAACTATTTGAGGGAGAAATATAATAGCAGATCTCTATTTCTCACTTTAAACCAATGTATGTATATACATAAATGTAAAAAAAAAATAAAGAACCTGTAAAAGTACTAGAAGAAAATAGAAGCAATACTGTTGTAATCTAGTGGTGGGAAAGAGCTTTTTGAGCCTGATACCACAGGCAGAACCCTTTGATAGATTTGACCACTATGGCACCATTAGCAAACTTAGCACTAGTTTATGCCAAGCAGAGGATGAACAGTTTTCCATATATTGTTCGATTAAATCCTGTGAGGATGATAGTACCACCCTCTTCCATAGATGGAAATCAACTTAAGGCCCCAGTGACAGAACTCCATTTTGCCCGACTGCAAAGCCTGTGCTTCTTACTCCACCGTTCTGTCTCCTCAAACACAAAAACACTGGGGAGTATGTGAAACACTGAAATTCAGTGAAAGCTACTGAAAGGAGTAAGATAAATGAACAGGAAGATGATAAACAGTCAAGGGGAGAAGAGGGCATGGGCTGTGAAGAGTAGGCTTTGTGCTGACAGTGTCACCATATCTGTCAGTCCTCTCATGGCTTATTGGGGTGTAGGTTTTGTTAACAAGGCCTTTGCCACCTGGTGGTATGAAAGTAGTCTCTGGTATTTTCTTCAAGTCCTTTTTATAACACTTCTTATTATTTATAAGTTTTTAAAATCTGTCTATCATTCACTTTGTTTTTAGTCTGGTTGACTGTTTATCCCCCACACAAAGATGCAATTGTTTTAGAATCTTTTATTGAATGACTCATTCTTTCTTCACTGATCTAAAATACTCTCTTTGTCTGGTTTCTGTTCTGTTGATCCAGTTATTTTTTTCTGTACCAGTAGCAGTATCACTATATAGTTCCAATTCCTTTTCATATATTTTGGTATCTAGTAGGATATCTTGTTTTCCATACATTTCATAGCTATTCTTGCATGTTTCCTATTAAATGTCAGCTGGCCAGTTTTTTGTCTTTTCATGGGGGGGGGCAGTTTTTGTTTAAAAACTATCTTAGAATTTGAATAGGATTGCAGTGCATTTGAAGGTTAATTTGTGGAGAATTGACATGTTTACAACATTCCAGGAGCTTGGTCGTCATTCTTCCTAATGTCCTTCAGACGAGTTTTAATGTTTTCATCACATAGTTCTTACACATTGTTTGTTAAGTTTATTCCTAGGTACTTTATGTACTTTCATTGATATTGTAAATGGGCTCTTTCATTTTTTTAACTAGTTATTTGTGGGATATAGGAAAGCTCTTGAGGTTTGCATGTTGATCTCTTGAGCATGGATTTAGCTATCTTACTGAATTGTTGTAGTATTGACAATAAAATTTTAATAGATGCTTTTGGGCTTTTTAGGTTATACATCATCTCATGTGCAAATATGTTTTATCTTTTTTCAACACTTTGTTTTTTTTAATTAAATTGATTAGGACCTCCTAAAAAATGATGAATAGTAACAGTAATAATAGGCATCCTACTCTTGTTCTTGACCTTAAAACAAAGCTGCTATGTAGGTTTCTGGTAGATACTTTTATTTTCCTACTTCTAAGAGTTTTTTGTTAGGAATTATCTGCTGAATGTTCTCTAAAATAGCCAATAAAATACATTGCCAACTGCATGCAAAATTCTAAGTTAGGAACTATGGAGTCAAAGGAGATAGTGGTCATTGTGATGAATAATCATGATGTTGTTTTCTTCCAAAACAGATTTATTGTCATAGAACACCATCAGAGGAAAGTAAAGAAGGAAGCTCAAGGTAAATATGAGTCTGGCAATTTTTAAAGTAGAATTTTAGAAATAGAGGAGCTTCCTCTTCCCATAAGTAGCTTGAGGTGACCTCTGGAAATGTTTCCTTATTCACTTGACCCAGAAAACCCCACAAAATCAGGCAAATCAATAGGTTCAAATCTTCATGTTCACTTTAAGAACACTAGTGAAACCCAGCCACCATGGCTCAGTGTTTGCGTGTCGACCTATGAACCCAGGATGTCATTGTTCGATTCCCGGTCAGGACACATGCCCGGGTTGAGGGCTCAATCCCCAGTGTGGGGTGTGCAGGAGGCAGCCAATCAATGATTCTCTCTCATCATTGATGTTTCCATCTCTTTCTCCCTCTCCCTTCCTCTCTGAAATCAATGAAAAGAAAAAAAGCCACCAAACATCTGAAAGATGTCACTTTATAGAAGCAGTATGTGCCATTCTGTTATTAAAATGGTGGAGTTAGTAGATATGCCCAGGCCAAAGAGTAGGGCTAGAGGCAGGGTCGGGGGCCCAAAAAGAATGCTCAGTTTTTGCAGAGCGTAGGGAGTAGATGTAGATTCTCTGGTCATTTAGCACATCTAGGTGAACAAAGCTCCCAAGATGCGGCACCGAACTGACAGAGCTCATGGCGGGATTAACCCATAGATATGTTCTCCCTGCCACATTGAGGTGATCCTTACTGAAAAAGAACAGATTGTTCCTCAACCAGAGAGGAGGTTGCTCAGAAAAAGAAAAAAAAAAAAGATATCCCAGAAGAAACTGGAGAAACAGAAACGTATGGCTGGGAGTAAATTCATCATAAAATAAATACTAATAAAAGTAAAAAGAAAGAAAGAAAAGAAAAAACTAGAGAACTTAGAACTTATCAATCTCCTCTTTTTCAATGAGGAACCCACCAAATTTGGAAAGAATACTTATTTATCCTGATGCTTTACTTGGATTTTGCAAAATTAGCTCCCAGCCAAAGCTGAGATAGAAGGGGACTGACAGATGTGTCTCCTTCGAGGGTGATGAAAAGGTAGAATATATGGGTTCTTCCTATAAAATAGCGGGAAAACGTCTCGTCCTATTGGTTTTCAGGCCCCGACTCTATCCCCTTTATCCAGTTTTAACTGGCAGAGACTTTAGACCAGTGGTTCTCAACCTCTGGCCCTTTAAATACAGTTCCTCATGTTGTGACCCAACCATAAAATTATTTTCGTTGCTACTTCATAACTGTAATGTTGCTACTGTTATGAATCGTCATGTAAATATCTGATATGCAGGATGGTCTTAGGCGACCCCTGTGAAAGGGCCGTTGGGACCGCCAAAGGGGTCGCAACCCACAGGTTGAGAACCGCTGCCTTAGGCAATAGTTTGTCTTTTTCTTTAATAAAAAGGAAATGGAGAAGGGGGAAGGGAAGATATCTTGCTCCATGGTCACACTGCTCGTGTTAACGTAAAAACATTCAAACTGTAAAGAATTTTTGTGAGTTCATTTGAGCCAAACTATTGACAATTGTCGGGAAGCAGAATCTCAATGGACTGGGATAATGCTCCGCAGAATGGTGGTTTTTCACCTATTTTTATACATTACAATCAAAGGAGGAGATGTAGATGGGTTACATGAAATCCACTGATGACAAAGTAGAAAGGTGGGAGAAAGCAAGGTGGGGTGGGGGGTGGGGAGAACCTCTGGGATTGGATAAAGAGTAAAATGATAGACTCATACTTCTTTTACTTAGTTAGGTCCAGGATAGTTAACAGTCAACAATTAACATAACAGGGGTCTGGAAAAAGGGAAGTTAGAAGTTACCCTGACATTTCAAGGATATGTTATAGATGCAAAAAGACAATAGGCTCAGTTAAGGTAAAGATTGGCCTCCTCAGGGAAGATACTGGCCTAGGACGAGACTACCCACCATAATTGCTTTTAATTAAAGTTTTAATTTCAGACCATCCTTGTGGCTACTTTAGGTCTTAGAGTTTGCAAGACCTCCATGCAGGCCTCCCCTGCGCTTGTCAGGTTAGCATGTGGCCCCTTTCGTCCACACTAGTGTCAGAAAGAAGATGGCTCCTTTCCTGTTGGGGACTTCTTCATTGGTTGCACTGTGCTTGGGCTGTGAGGTACATTTTATGTCACAGCTCGGTACACACATCCCACACAGACATAAGTAGTTTCTACAACAAAATTATTATGCAGTCTGATTTTTTTTCTATTCTGTCTGTATTCAGAAGGGAATATTTTGTATCTTGGTGCTGGTTATGACCTTTAAACTGATTTCACAACTCACTCATCAGTGACAGCCTGCAGTATGAAAGTCGGCAAGCTAGATAACTTGGCTAGTTGAACTTGGACATTTAGTTGGTGTGGTTTAACTTATGGGATAAAGCAGCTAGCAAAATAAAAGCACACACCCCCCCCCCCCCCCCCCCGCCGCACCCTGCCCCAGCAAATGATGCATGTGAGACCCAGTCTACAGGGGACCTATGTAACATGCTTCTGCCCAGTGTGGTGGTGCTTTTTTGCTTTCACTGCATGAGGGCACTTGGTCAAGGGCCTAGAAAGTGAGTGGGACTGAAAATCCTGCCTGTACTCTATGCCAAGCCACATAGAGTCTCCCCAGAGACCTTGTGGGGCCACTTTAAACAGACACGGAGAACTTCTGGAAGCCCAGCATGCCAGGGCTCCTTGTCAAGGTCCCAGGTCTGTGGTGACTTTGCTTGTGAGTACGGACCCAGGTACCCATTTAGTCCGAATAAGACCAAAGCTGTACGTGTGAGACACATGGAAATGGCATGAATCACTAATTGTCGGTATGCATTTTTCCTCCAAGGGACTTTTTTCCATTTTTCCAGCATATGAGACGGTCACCGGAACACAAGATGGAGGTAAATGTGAGGAGGATAAAGTACTGTGTGTGTGGGGGGGGGGGGGGGGGAGGCAGGGAGACAAAGTAGGAGGAACACAGAGTTCATATGCCCCTGTCTGCACTCTAGGAAGGTGGTTTCTGGAAGAGGCAGCCGCTCTGGCTGAGAGATCTATACAGACCTCTCAGTGCCACACACGTAGAGAGCATGGCACAGGAGCTACACGATAAGGATTCGGCGACTGAGGATGAGCTGTTCTACAAAATGTAAATGACTGGGAACAATTTGGAATTCTTGTCAAAAATGAGGGAATAATGAAGAGCTTAATTGTTCCTTTCAGGAGTAAAAGCCTTGGCCTTCTTCTCACTCCAGGTTGCGTGGAGAGTTCTCAGTGTTGAAGGTTGCTGCTACAGACCCTGCGGCCCAGAGCCCAGCGAATGAGCACGTGACCCTGCCACCCAGCGAAGCCCCTCCTCAGGCTCCCTGAAAATGTTCTTGACCTACGTGTACAATAAATGTTGTTCTTTTTTTTCGTTCATTATCTTGTGATTTTTTTTCTAGCTTTATTGAGGTATAGTTGACAAATAATAAAACCTTTTAAATCCTTTTTTTTTCTTTCTTAAGGAGGTGGGAAGAATCAGCTTCCTATAGCAGAAACCAGAAGAAAACTAGCTATTCACTATGGGGAGAGATGCATGAATACTAGTTTGAGGATTCCAATCTGATGGCAAGTAAGGACCTATCTGGGGTTCAAACCAGAAAGGATCTGCCTCCAGTGCTCGGAAGAGCAGTGAAAGGCAGGAACGTGACTGGCTTGGGAAGGTGAGAAGGGCCAGAACTGTCGTAATAATAGCTAGTCATCTTCAGTGCTTGCTACAGACCAAAAACTCTCCTGAGGATGTGATCTCATGTCATCCTCACATCAGCCGATATCTTCCCCAATTTACGGATGAGGAACTGAGGCTCAGAGAGGTTTTGAAACTTCCACGAATTCACACACTCTGACCCCTCTTCCTAGCGCTAAGGGGCCACGGGTGGTGTGACCTGACTTCTCTTTTTTGAACATCAAGAGAAGTTTCTATCTTCAGTGTTAACTCAAGGGGCCTATGAAAAAATACAGGCACTGTGGCAGTGTCTTCGCCCCACGCTTATTGGATTGCCTTGGGTCCCGGTTTGAGGAAGACCCAGAAAACAGTACGGGGTAGAGCTGGGGTTCGAACCTAAGCATTCCTGGCCCTCAGGCCCACTTGCTCTCCTACTGAGGGAATACGCTACCCCTCCAACTAGACTCAGAAAGAGCCGGGCGAGAATTTATGAGCTGTGCAGCCTTGGGCCCCCCAAGTTGGTGCGCTCCAGCCTGTTTTCTTATCTGTACCATGGGGGTGACAAAGACACTTACCTTCCAGGTGGCTGGTAATGACACATGTTTTTACCTGGCAAAGAGCAGGAGCTTCTGTTTAGCACGAATATTAAAACCCCGACTCCCTCATCTCTTAGGTTAGGGCAGAGCATCTCACATTTTACTACGTTTTTATTTCTAATCTTCCTGCTCAACCATTAACCATAGTGTAGGCACTTAGCACTCACTCACCTAGCCTAAAAGCTAGGGAGCATGTGCGTTTTCACTCCCGGAGAGAGAGTTGCACCGTGGATCACACCCCAACAGCTGATTTTATAAGTGGGAACAGGCTCTGGAACCTCGCCTTCTCAGAGACGCGAGAACCCCTTCATTCCAGGAAAGGGCCGTGGAGCACAGGAACACTTCTCTCACCTCCCACCCCCATTCCCCTCACTCACTGCCCACAGAGGTCAGTGCAACTTGCTTCCCAGAACTGGCCTGATCCTCAACCAGCCCTGTAGCCACCCACAAGGACTGACTCCCTGGACCCGCATCTAGCCCTACCTCCGCATCCCTGGTCACACCAATGCTTGCATCTGCCAAGTGTCTGAAGCGCCGCAGTCCAACCTCTGCTATTTTTGTTTTGAATCCATTGGAAAGAGAAACGTCACGTCTACGATGAAAACCAGATTTAACTACGGCTCGTTGAGCTTTGCGCCTCCCTGCTGCTGAGCTGGGTAAAGGAGAATGCCAAGGGGGCTCTCGAGGCGCGTCCTTCGAGAGTAAGGTGTGGGCTCCGTGTTTTTCCTGAACGCCTCCAGGCGGGAGGCTCCCCCTTGGCCCCGAGCCCTGTCCGCGGGCTGCACTGATGGCCTGGCAAGGCAAGAATGGGGTAGCGGTCATTGATCCCGTGTTACAAGCGGGCAACCTTCGCTGCAGGAGGTCAAGCGGCAGCCCCAACGCTACGCAGCCCCGCGCTGAGGCCGCGAGGGGGCAGGCACCCCGATGCCGAGTCTAGAGTCTGACGCAGACCCTGCGGGGAGCGGGCAGCGAGGACGCGATCGGCCTGACGCCGGCCTCGGCTCTCCGAACCCGCCGGGTCACCGACCCCGAGCCTCCTAGAGCCACTCGGGGGCTGGGAACCCTGGGCGCCCCGGAGCGCCAGCCCCGCCCCCGCCCCGCCCCCGCTCCTCCGGGCTCCGCGATAGGCTCCGCGGGCCGGGGGCGGGGCCGGACGTCGAGCCGACGTGATGGCGTCAGGCGCCCAGGGCGCAGCTTGCTGTTGTCAGTAACTGGAGGCCGCGGGTTCAGGGCGAGCTTCTGCGGCTGCGGTGGCCGGGGGTACCCCCTGCCCCGCTCCCCACTTCCTTTGGTGAGTTGGGCGGCGGTGCGTGGAGGGCGGCGGGCCGTAGACGCGAGCGGGCGATGGGCCAGCGGCCCTCGACGTGATCCCGAACCCCCGGTTGCCTTGAGACCGCCCTGCTTCGGAGCCCTCACCCTCCCCAGCCCAAACCCCGCGCCCCGCTTCCTCCTCCGGCTCTCACTGCCGCTGCGGCCAGTCCCCTCCATCTTCTCCCACCGGGACCCGACGCCAGCCCTTCCCCCACCCCCTCACCTCCCGTCTTGCGTAAGTGCAGTCTCACCCTTGACCCCACTCTAGCCCAGTCCCAGCCCCGATCGCGGCTGCAGTCCTCCGGCTCCCGCTGACACATGTCATCCTCACCCCTCAACCCCTTCGGCAAGCCTAATGCTCCGCGCAGACCTTGAGACCCACCATTCTGGTTGCCTTTTTCGGGGTCCGCTTTCTTACCCCAATCTCCGTACAGCTCAGCTTCCCAAGACCTGCTCCTCCGAAACACCACCTCTGCCCACTCTCACGTAAGACCCACCACCAAAGTAAACTTGGGGCTCACCCCTTTCTTCTCGAAAACTCTGGTCACAGCCCCGTCCCAGGCCTGTATCTTGTCTGCACAGACTCAACCCCTAACTTCCTAGCCTATCATACTTCCTTTCCATCTCCAGCCATCCTGAGGACATCCTCCATCCCTAAGTCTTTGCTAAACCGCTCCCAACTCTTGCTGCCTCAGTTCCTACCGCTCCCACTCAAAATCTTGTTTAAACTGGGGTCTCCATATCCTTTCACTTCTGTTGTCTTCACCCCAACCCTCCACCCATTCTTCCCTTGACCCAGCACCCCCTCCCCCCCGCCCCCAATTCAATCTGAGATCTTAGAGTGTCCTGGCGGCCCCACCAGCTGCCCCTCTACAGCCAAATCTAGGTGCTTGTTCAGTCTAACAGCCGGGCAGTTAGAGACTGAATAGCTTCCCTGGTGCGTGCAGGGCCTCAGATGTAAATAAGTATGGAGGAGTAGAGATACACCTCCTTCGGTCAGTGGCTTTTCCGGGATATCTGGTCCCCTGTATCTGTCCCAGGGATTATTAAATTATGTGTGCTGGCCCCTGGAATGGTAGGTATCTTTTAAATGCCTGGTAGGTGAGGAATGGCCACCCATCCAGCTCACTAAGTCTGGGGCAACCGAAGCCATCACTTCCTTTTGGCTGGTGTTCTGGCCTTGAAGAAACCTAGAAAGTACCGCTGTGCAGGATTGGCTGTGGTGACAGAACCATGTCCATGTGTGTTGTCCTAGCAACTGGAGAGGACCCTCACAGAGTGCTCCTCCGGACCAGAGCTGAGAACAGACCAGTCCCAACACTGAACACAGGGAACATAGGGAGCCCGAGGAGATGTTACATGTCGTAAAGAGTGTAGGTGAGTGGGTCCTGGGAGGCTGAGGCCTAGGTGGGCATGGAGGCTGTTGAATCACTTCCTCTTTTTGCAGGGGTTGCATCATTGACTTTTGGCCCCTTGGTTACCTATGAACACAGCTTAGTTGTCTCAGAGTAGCTCAGGCAGAGGCTCCAGGCCCCATGTTCAGCCTATATAATCTGGGCTTTTGAGTGCATGTTCCCTCCAAATTATGGTGACCTGGTTTCATAGGATTGGCCAGTTGACAGCAATTGTAAAGGGCCCCAAACAGAATCATTGTTTTTCCTTGCCATTTGTAGTCTTGTTCATTTGAAAATTGAATGCCCTTCTACCTCCAATATCTCCCCATGAAGGTGTGATAGGTCAGAATGGTTTTCAGCCTGTTGGTAGCTTGGTCTAATGGAAGGAGTTCCCACCTCTGAAGAGTTGTATACTTCAACTCTCCACAGTCTATGATAGGGAGATACCCACCCTGAGCCTTTATTTTATTCATCAGTTGACTCAGCAAGTATTTTCTGAGCCCTACTGTGTGCCATGCACTGTTCTAGGCACTAGAAATGTAATGGTGAATGCACTGGGCAAAGTACCTGTTTTCATTTGTTCAGAGTTTGGCCCTTGCTAGAATCCTAAGGGTATTGGACAAGAATATGGGGGTGGGGTGGGGTGGGGGGACTGGATGGAAAGAAAGAGGGAGGAAAAAAGATAGCCAGTGTTAACTGACTTCAATTTCTGGCCTCACACATAGCCCTTGGTCTGGGAATCACAAGCTAGAAGTTTCTCGCCCTCCTGCTGGACCAGAAATCCAATTTTCTTCAGGTGGAAGGAGATGCTGTTTACTCATTCATCGCTCACAAGGCTGAAAGATCAGCTGCCTCTCTGAATCAGAAGATAACTTTGTCATTCTTTTCCAACTGAAAACCATGACTCATCAATTGGTACTGTAGGAGCTGAATGACTTAAACGCCAGGCTGTTCTGAACAGCCAGGTACAGGATTGGATTCAGGCCATCGAGTGGAGGCTGTTGGGAATGGCTGAGAAGTCTCTAAGGAGAGGAGGTTGCTGTTTACTGGTGGATGGAGTGTTTTAAAGTGGTGAAGCCGGTCATCCATTCCTTCTTTTAATGTGAGTCGCATGTAAGCCATTTTTGCTCTTTTCTTTCTTCCTTGGTTTCTGGAGGAAGTGAAATTGCACATACTTAGAGGGCTAGGCAGCATAATGAAGAAAAACAGCCAGAACAATTCTTTCCTAACTGCGTGTTGGAACATTTAAGAAAGGACGGCTCTGAAATTCGGCTGCCTCAATTGGTTGGGGCTACAGATCTTTTCAGCAAGATTGTTTCCTGTTGATTTTAAGCCTTATTTGATAAATGGAGTTTCTGAGTGCCTCTTAAGGCTCTGTAAGTAATAAGTTTGCCTGAAACTCTTCGGACCA